CCCCCCTCCCCGCACGCGAGATATATGTGTGGCATAATCCAAATCTGGTTTTGCTAACAAAAAAATTAATTCTTCATTTTTTAAGCCTACGAAAAGCAGTCTTCTTTGTGAATTATCAAACACAGAAAATACCTTCATTTTTCCGTCTTCTTCAGTCGGTTACTCGGCAATTGATTTGTGCAAACTCCATTCTTCCAGCCACGAGTGCGCATGTTTGGAGGTGCTATGGAACCTTGGGGAGCAACTGATTTTAACGATTTGCACTCAGTAGGGCCAAAATCGCTTTCAAGGCAGTGTCTTGCCACGACAACAGTATTTTCGATAAGTTATTCTTTGTTTCCTTCTTGTTCTTGGTCAATATTATCAGTTATTTTTCCTACAATTTGAAAGCGAATTTACAATATTGATCAATGGCTAGTTCTCTTAACAAAACACTTCCTGACTTGCCAAAGCTTGAGCCTTTGGATGAAAATAACTATAAGCATTGGTCCCAAAAACTTCTGATTTTCTTTGAACAATTAGAAGTTGATTATGTTTTGTTTAACGAACCTCCTGTTGATGTCGTTTCTAATAGTACTGCTAATGTTGTTGCTGATGATGCTGCTAAAAAGAAATTTAAAAAGGATAATAAAACTGTTCGAGGGCATTTACTTAACCATATGACTAACCCTCTGTTTGAGTTGTTTATAAATTATAAATCTGCTAAAGTCATGTAGCAATATGGAGAAGAAATATTGTGCAGATGATGCAGGAAAAAAGAAGTATGTGGTTGAAAAGTGGATCAAATTTCGGATGGTTGATAATATGCCAATCATGGAGCAGGTTCACGAGTATGAGAACTTGACTGCAGATGTTCTGAATGAAGGCATGGAGATGTGTGAGATTCTTCGGGCTCATGTTCTGGTTGAAAAGTTTTCACTTTCCTGGAGTGATTACATGAATCAACTGAAACACAAGAAGAAAAACTTAACTCTTCAAGAACTGATCAGTCACATGAGGATTGAGGAAGCAAACTATCTCAAAGATGAGGAGGCGGAATGGCTTAAGGATAAGATGAAATATCTCTCTCTTAATTCTTCTACAATTAATCTTGTGGAATATTCTAGTACTTTTCTAAAAGACAGGTTTAAAGAAAAACAGAAGAAATGCTAGAAGAAAGGACATGTGAATAAGCAGAATTACTTCAATAAGCCGGAGGCCAAATTCAAAAGTCGAAAGGACCTTACTATGTCTGCAGAAAAATGGTCACAAGGCTTTCCAGTGTAACTAGAGACAAGGACAAAGCTCAAAGCATGGAGGGAAACTCCAGTCGAAGATACCTTACTGAGCGTGGTGATGTCATTGTTGTTATGGTCGTTGAGAAAAACATGGTGGCTAACAAGAGTAACTGGATAGTGGACACCGACGCTTCAAGGCACCTTTGCGCTAACAAGGAGTTATTTCACGATTTTGAGGAATCTACTGATGGCGAGTGTGTCTACATGGGTAATTCCGCTATGGCTGGAGTTATGGGCAAAGGAAAAATCTCCTTAAGATAACTTCTGAAAAACCTTAGCCTTGAACAATGTTCTATACATACCCTTCCTTCGTAGAGACTTAGTTTCTGGTGAGTTTCTCAACAAAGCAGGTCTTAAACTTATTTTTGAAGCATATAAAGTTGTTATTTCTCGTTTGGGAGACTTTGTTGGAAAGGTTTACCTCAGTGGAGGTTTATTTTTACTGAACGTCGTTCAATAGATTACAAATAATGCTGGTACTTCTAATTCTGCTTATATTGCTAAGTTTATTGCTTTGTGACATAGTAGACTAGGTCATGTTAATATTGCTTCTATTAATAAACTTAAAAAAATAGAATTAATTCCTGCAGTTAATGTTGATAGTTTTTCTAAGTGTCCTATTTGTGTAGAAGCGAAACATACCAAAAAGCCTTTTAAGAATATAATTAGTAGAAAGACAAAATTGCTTGAACTAGTGCATTCAGATTTAGCAAATTTCAAGAACACTATTAGTAAGGGCAAAAAGAATTACTACATCATGTTTGTAGATGACTTTCTAAATACACTAAAGTATATCTTCTTAAGTCAAAAGATGAGGCTGAAAGCATGTTTTTGAAAATACAATGCAAAAGTAGAAAATTAATTAGACAGAAAAATTAAGAGATTTAGGTCTGACAAAGGTTGTGATACTAATTCTCTAGATTCCTTTTGTGAGAAAAATCGTATTATATATGAGGTTAGTGCTCCCTATATTCCCCCAACTAAATGGTTTAGCCAAACGGAAAATTCGAACCCTTAAGGAAATGATGAATTCTATGCTTTTGAATTCGGCTTTATCTGATAATATGTGAGGGGGGACTGTTTTATCCGCATGCTATGTTCTTAATAAAGTCCCTCACAAAAATTTAGATAAAACCCTGTATGGCTTATGGAAAGGGTTTGCCCCTAACTTAAAAATTCTGAAAGTGTGAGGATGTTTGGCTAATGTTGGTCTACCTGATTTTAAACAAGTAACTATTGGACCCAAGACTTTTGATGCTATTTTTATTGGTTATGCTCAAAATAGTATTGCGTATAGATTTATGTCTTTGAATGATAATTTTATTCGTGAATCTAGAGATGCAGAATTTTTTGAACATGTTTTTACATTAAAACATAATGTGCCTAGTGATGTGTCTAATAATGGTTCTATATTGATTTCTATTAGTTCTCATATTGTGCCTTCTTCTAGTGTTACTGCTAATGAGCATGAAAATAAACTTAGAAGGATTAAGAGACGTAGAATTGAAGCCGGATTTGGTGTAATGACCCGATCAGTTATTTTGTGTAATTGCGCCCCATTAACCCTTTTTATGCTTCACACATGTGTGTTTATGATTTTATGACTTGCGGGGTTGGTTAGTTTCGTTCAGGAAAGCTTTCAGGTTGATTTGGACCCTTTGATTCTTGACTTAGAAGTTTGAATTAGAAATATTGATCAAACTTTGACTTTTGTAAATACGACTCCGGAACTATATTTTTATTGCTCCAATAGCTTCATATCGTGATTTCTGACTTGAGCGTATGCCCGGAATTAATTTTGGAAGACTGTAGGTTGATTTATGTTAGTTTGTCGAAATTTGGCATTTTCAAGTTGAAAGGTTTGATTGTAGGTTGACTTTTAGCTATCGAGCTCAAAATTTGATTTTGGACTTGGAATAGGTCTGTTATGGTATTTACAACTTGCTTGCAAATTTTGGTATCGTTTGGAGTTGATTTGATAGGATTCGGACGTTTAGTTGTAACTTTAGAAATGTTTGAACTTTACTTTGAAATTCATGCGTTTAGAGTTAAATTCTTAGTTTTAGATATTATTTTTTTATTTTGATCATGCGAGTGAGTTCATATGATATTGTAAGACTTGTGTGGAGGTTTGGTTTGAAACACTGAGGGCTCGGATGAGTTTCAGATATGTTCCTGAGTGCTTTGGACTGAAATTGCTAAAATCTGGTGTCTGGTGCTCTGGTGTCACAATTGCGAACACCAGGGTCGCATTTGCGAGCTTAGCAGGGGGGCCTCAGGTTTCGGAATTGTGATGCCAGGCTCACAATTGCGAAGTGGTCTGGGATTGAGGGTAGGTCTCATTTGCAACAAATATGTCGCTTTTGCGAGGGCAGCATGGTTCACAATTGCGAACCCATCTTCATATTTGCGAAGAGCTTCCCATGCCTATCAGTGCCGCAATTGCGAGATTTTCTTCGCAATTGCGAACCCGTATCGAAATTGCGAACCTGTATCATAATTGCGAACCCGTATCACAATTGCAATAACTGCAGCTGAACATAATGGCTGAAAGTCGGGATTTCATCTCTCATTCTCATATTTTTGAACCCTAGACTCAGTAGGAGGCGATTTGGAGAGGGGATTTTTACCTAAAAACCTTGGGTAAGTGATTCTAATCTATTTCTAATCATATTCCATCAATATGTCTTAGATTTTAACACAAAAAATCATGTGAATCAAAGTGAAAGTTTGTGAAACCTTGTCAAGTTTTTGAAATATAAAAAATTGAGTTTTGATAGTCGATTTGGACTCGGATTTTGAAACTAATCACATATATGAACTCGTGGGGTCATGGGTAGACAGAATCTACCATTGGACCTGGGTTTTGACCGCCTTGGCCCCGGATTGACGTTTATTGAGTTTTTGAAAAAGTGTAAAGATCTTAGCTTTATCTACTTCAATTGATTTTCCTAGCATTGTTTGATAATATTAAGTCGATTTTGGTTAGATTTGAGCTGTGTGGAGGCAAATTTTAAGGGAAAAGCTATTTTCTAGTGTTGAATTAGCCTAGTTAAGGTAAGTGTCTTGCCTATCTTTATGTGGGGAAAACTACCCATTGGGATTGGTATTGTTTAATTCATTTGTGATATGTAAAAGTCGTGTAAGCAAGGTGACTAGTGGGTACACGGGTTATACGTGGTATTTGACCAGTTTAGGCTACTTAGACTCTTTCCATGCTTTAATTGAATTGTAGTATCATGTTCTAAATTCTCATAGGCAATCTATTCCTACTTGTGTTAGTCTATACTTACATGCCTTAAATGATTTCGTTAACACTTGTTCTACATTCTAATTGATAAATTGCTCTCATGCTTTAGTTGAACTTGTTGCCTCTATTATTGTTACATGTTATCTCTTTCATTGTTGATTTCCATTATTTGAAGCTATTGTTACAGGTTAGATTTTCCATTGTGAGTTATTCTTATTAAATAACGCGATTATGCATTATCTCTCATTGTTGAGTTATTGGTGTTGACGTTGTGAAAGCCGTTATCACGTTGAGGAGAAATTATTATTGTTGAACATCTTCCTTGTTGAGCATTTTACATTCATTGTTATTGTTGATATTCTTGTACCCGTTGTGGTGGAGCTGTGGGCTATTGTCACGGAAACATTGATATTGTTGATTGTTGGCAAAATATGATATATGGGCACTTGTGGTGCGAGTTGTTATTGTAATGTGATAATTACGTGCATGCGGCGGTATAAGGCTTGGGGTTAATGTGCATGCGGCGGTATAAGGTGGAACTTATTTGCGTGTTGCTTGTAGGGGAACTACGTGAAGCCACGCGGCCTCATAAGGTGGGCTAAAGTGCGTGTAGCTATTTCGGGAAAACTGTTTTCAAAACCTATTTGAAATGTAAGGCTCACGCGGTAGTAAAAGGAAATATTGTGATTGAAATTGTGAAATATGAATACGAGGCGGTACCTCGGTTGTTATTCTTGATTTATACGAGGCGGTACCTCGGTGGTGATTCTTATTGCACATGAGGCGGTACTTTGTTGTGTTATTTTGTTGTTTATCTCATGTTGCAAAGAGCTTTGGCGGGAATGTTTCTTGTTGTTTTGTTCTTCTTTGTTCTAGTTGTTGTTGTCCGCATATGATCATTTTGGTTCTCTTCAGTTTCTTCTTTTATGTTGTTTCCATGTTTAATTTCCGGTATTAGTTCATGATATTATCTTGTTTCGTATCAGTTATTTGTTCGCTTGCCATTATTTATCCTTATTACATTTCATACTATTTATTTATATCCTAGTAGGTGTCTTGACCTGGCCTCGTCACTACCCTACTGAGGTTAGGCTTGATACTTACTGGGTACCATTGTGGTGTGCTCATACTACGCTTCTGCACAATTTTTATGCAGATCCAGGTACGTCTGCTCGTGCCGGATGGTAGAGTTGATTTGAGTTGTTGCTTTGGAGATTTCAAGGTATACCTGCTCCACATCCGCATGCCTCGGAGTCACCTTACCTTATTCTTATTTATTGTTGCATTTTCTTTCAGACAATGATGTACTACACACTTTAGCTTACTCTGTAGAGCTTATGACTCTGTTCCACTGTTCTTGGGGAGTGTTTGGCTGAGATTTTTTTTTCCAGAAGTTTATATGAATTTATCAGATTGGGTTTTAGTATTTTGTTAATTATATCTGTTCAGTTGTTATCAATTGTTAGGCTTACCTAGTCGCATAGACTATGTGCCATCACGACATCCTACGGAGGGCAAATTAGGGTGGTGACATTTGGTCCTGACTTTATCACTACTATCTTGACTAAAAATCTTGATCTTGATGTTTTAAATGATGAATTAGTGTCTATCTATTTAATAGAAGAAGACCCTAATACTTATGATGAAGCAATGAGGTCAATAGATGCTAATTTTTGAAAAGAGGCCATTAAAAGTGAAGTATTATGGATCAGGCCATACACCACGGCAGGATATTGTGCCATTACTCTTATGGGATCGGGTCGCTCGCCTCAGTTGAATCGTTCATAATATTTGATAAGGAGACATTGTACTTATTATTAGGTGTTGACTAGGTATTCCATTCGAGGTAGTATCGGGTAATTGAGGACGTATTTACTTTATTGTTGAGGATCGTGTTATGCGCATATATCTGTTTCGTTGATTGTACTTGATATGCCTCATACCTGTGTACTTTATTGTACTTTGGTTGTTGGACCACTAGTAAGTGTCGATGTCGACCCCTCATCACTAC